GGAGGCGTGAAACTGCAGGGTAGTACATGGCTGTCCAAAAAGAATAGACTGTATTTTAGTGTTCATACCATAATATTTTTTATTTATGTCACCTCCACTTCAAAATGTGGCTTCTCTGTATCTGTATCCTTGGAGACCTCTGATGAGGTTGTAAACAACCTCAACCATTCTTTACTGCAGCTACAAAATGAGTGTTAGGCATTTGGCAAAGTCAGGGCTCGAAACAGAATGTCTCCACTTACCAGTATTAAATTCTCAGTTATGCAAGGACTGCAAAATTTTCCATGTTGTTTGGTTATTCTTGATCTCTCCTTTCTTGCAGGAAGAGGTTACCTTAAAAATAAGATCATATTCCATAGTTTGTTCCATGAGCATCAGTTGGCTGTGCTACTTCACTCCCGTGGGCAGATAAAATATTAACACTTCCACTTTCCTGGATCAGTACTGAAAGTTATCTGAACAGTTGTGTGTGGTGTAAGATGGTAATTAACTGTAGGTAACGAAAATGAAAATATATGACCTTCGGTCATACATGTGAATTAAAGTTTCAAGTGGCCAATGTGCAAGTCAGTCTGCTGATCTGTATCATGGATAACAGCAGAAATCACTTAGCATAGAGGTTAGAATTGCGTAAGTTCTAGGGTGACATTTTTATAGCAACAGTTTTCTGATGACATCTATTTTAATAGAAGAAAAAATGGTTATAACAACGTAGGCTGGATTTGCGAATTTTAACTTGGTGTTTTGTTTTCTGTTCACTGTTATGCAGTTACTGTTAACGTGTTTATAATTTAGTGTTGGTTTTTTTGTTGTTTTGGGGTTTTTTTCTTTGCTATAATGACTAATTTATTTGACAGTTTTCTCTATCATGAACCTACACATGGACTAATCTGTGAAAAATTATGTTGCAGTGTATACTGTTGCTACACAGTATTTTCAGATAGAGATTAATCTGACTGGCCCAGCTCCGGTGGGCACTAAAACATCCAGATTAAATCTCAAGAGAAATTGCGTGGTATCTCAGCTTGAAGGTTGAAGGAAAAAAAAAAAAAAAAGAAGGCCATTTTATTTTAATTTGTTGAATGCTGTTCTTTCAATAGTTTTGAAAGTGTACCATTACACTAGTGCAAAACTGAAAACAAGGATCTTTGCACTAATTTTCCTGTGTCTCTTGATGCAAAAGCATTGGGTTTTTTTATGAGGGCCACACCTTGTTCCTTTGGTGTAGTGCAGTGGTTTTGGCCCTGCAGTGAAGGAACAGTCCCCAGTCTATGACTTCTGTCTGCTATCAGAAATTCAGCAACAGTGTTTCTAGAAACATTATGTGAAAGTGAACACCAACATAGCACAGTTACTTCCTTAGATGGAAATGCTGTAGCTATAGAAATGACTGAGCAACACGTTTTTCTAAATTTTGTGGAAATAGAGCATTTAATAGAGAATTAGCTAGCAACAGGAGATGTTTCAAGTCTGTTTGTCCTGTTGTGTTGTTGCTTGACTGGTGTGGCTCCACTGTCTTACTTGCTGAATGTACTGCAGAGTTGAGATCAGTAATTTAATATTTGCAAAGCACTTCAGGAGCTGTGATGCTCTGTAAGTATTAGTTGAAAGTCCCTCAGGAAGGAGGTCCCGTTGTATTTGTAATACTTTGTTTGCAATGCTGTAATCTTGCATTTTAATATTTTTTTTTAGGGAACCCGTGATATTTATGTTGACTTTAAGGCACTTGGTTGTTGTTTTGTTGTTGTTGTTTTGTTTTAAATGTATATATCAATTGAGTTTACCTGCCTCGGTCAGATTAAAATAGGGCTGTAAATGGTGGATGGTTGAGCCAAAGATGCAGGCTACCAACTGAGTATCTAAACTGATACTGTATTTTGCTTTGGTTTCTTGAAATTGGGCCTGTTGTAGTAGTAGCAGTTACTATATATGCATCACTTTAGAGATGCCTCTAAATGGAATAAGCTTTGTCTATGATATGCATGACTGATTAATTGGTTAAAATGTAGTGTGTGTGAATCTCATTCAGCATATTTAATACACAGTTGATTAATGAATGTTAACATTGGAATTGCTTGGATTTAGTCATGACAACTTTTTGCTGTGGCTGTTAGACAATCTCAAGGGCTGAAAAAGAACTGCTAATGAATGGATACTGTACTGTTCTGTTTGTCAGCAAATTTGTACAGTAATTTTTTGTATAGTTTCAGATCGAATTTGTACAATTCTTTTAGAAGGTATTTACAGTAACTACTGTATTCAAGAATGTATTTTGAAAAAAGACTTGGAAAGTCTTGGGACAGGCTATAGATGATGCTGTCTATTTGCTATGTAGAAGTAATGCAGCTCAACTGTGTAAACATGATTTAGGTTCCTAGCCCCAGTTCTGTCACTGTAGGGTGCGATAATTCTGTGAAATTGCCGACACTGCTGCCACCACCCACCCAGACTTCAACATTTGAAGCTGCTGGTGGCTGTGAGGCAATGGCAGGAGCTGAAGTTTTGTCCTTTTCACTTCAAGATGTTTCTTCCCTTCCTTTACCCTCACTGCCTGCTTCTTGTAGCACATGTTCTTCTGGCAAGGTAAGAGCACAAGGAAAGAAAGAAAATCCTTCCTCTGTGACCCACTTCCCTAGCACGTGTTCCTTTCACTGGTGTTACGTAGGAGATGCAGATGTCATTGGGCTCTTCCCATTGGTGTAACGAGTTCTGTCAGGAGAGAGGAGAAGACCTGAATTAATCCACTTCTGTTGGCTCAAACCAGTCAGTGGTTATTAGTGAAAGGGATGATTTATTCTAGTAGCTCCTTAGCAATATTAATTCCACAGCTGCATACCTTTGTGCCTTTTTATGCCTGAAGTTAAGTAGAAATTCCCTTTGAACTTTAGATGAGTTGTTAGAATGCTGACGACTGCACCTTGTTTTCCTCTTACCTGCCAATATTTTGTTGGGCTTTTGTAGTAAGAACTCTGCATAATATCTAGAAACATAAGTGCTGACAACAGGTACTAGGTGTGCGCTCAGAATGTTAGCCTGCTTGTAGTATGCAGCTTTCTATGAAGCGTGAGCAGGAAACTCAAAGCATAATGTGATTCTTTTGTGTGTGTTAATTGCAGTATATCATTAGTACAGTGGGGAGGAGTGTCTGGAGCTATCTGTTAAAAGCACAGCTGACATATGTACTAGATCAGTCCCCAAAGACTGGTAGTTGTGTAAATTGGGTTCAATTTTTGAACCGCTCAGAATACCTCATATGTAAATAGAGTTGTCATGACTTAATCAAAATGTGTTTGTTGTAAAAAGTAAAGGAGCCACTGGCTGGCTCAGCTTTAGGCTTGTTGTTCTTGCCTCATTTTGTAATTTTTTTAAAGTAGGGTTTACAGCTAGAATTTTGAATGCCAAAGTTCTATTTATTAAATAATAATAAAAGTTTTCATTGTTAATGACTGGTATTTTTTCACTGGAATTTGTTTGTTGATGTTTGGGATTTGTATCCACAGAGCAAAAATAAATTTTGTTACAAAATTGATTTCTTCTCTGCTGATTTTTTCCTGGCATTATTTCTTGTTCTGAAACCGAGACATTGGTAGCAAAACTACTACTTCAGTGCAATGCAGTGATTTTAAAGCATTGTTGCTTGTAATGTCCCTGCTCCTTTTGTAAGAGGATGCTGCTGTTTTTCCTTGCTCGTGGAGAGATTATAGATAGAACTTAAAAAAAAGACTGAGTTGGTACAAACTCGTAGAGAGAACTGTTACGATCATTAGGCTCAGAGCTGCTGGAGGCGTCATCAACAAGTGGTTTCCCCAACACCAGTCAAGCAGGACCGAAAATAAAAGGAGAGGATGAAGCAAAAGCAGCAGTGCATCTGAGAGAAAGGGCACATGGTTTTAATGGTAATTTTTCAGCTATGAATTTTTCAGCACTAATGGATGTGGTCATACTGGAGAGCAGTTATGGCAAACAGAAATCCTTCCTGCATGAAACACCACAGTTTGTCACAGACCATTGAAACCAAGCAGTGTTGACTTCTTTCAATGTCAAATTAGCACTGTCTGAGGAAAGTGAAAAGTTACAGTTTGAAAAATCTGAAGAGGAGTCTTCCCAAATGCTGAGTAAGTGTGCTTACCTGGAAATGATTTCTTTTCAGGCTGCTGCCCTTAAAAAAATCCTAGGACCCAGCTGGAGCATCAAGTGTTGAGTGGTCTCTCTTGACAACTGCTCTTCCTCAGCCCCTGGCTTTCTTCACTGTGCAGAGCGTAGAGGTCAAGGATCTTTTTCCTCAACCTTTGGAAGATGATGGGAAATTCATTTTGATAAGCTAATGCATTATATATGGTACAGATCACTTGCTTTTCTCAAACCTTGTGACTGAACGTTGAATGATGTGCTTTTAATTCAATTAAAACATGCTGTGCCCTGTATAAACGTATGGAAAGGGCTGCGCAGGTGCCAACTTTCCATAAGATTTCTGAGGGTGACCTTTTGTGAACTGTTCAAAGTCAGGTTTAGATTTCAGAGTATCATGATGAAAGCGCTGCTAACAATAGTAGTGGTAGAAAATGTTCTCTTGCCTTTACACCACAAACAAAATACTAGTCCAAATGTGGTTAGAAATAAAACATCAAACAAGAACACTGCAGGTAACACTACGGCATCTTGAATGAGGACAAATTTGCTGCAGCAAAATCTGCAGTAGATTGTCTGTTGTATATTAAATTAAATGTTGTAAATTAAATAATTCCATCGGGGTTGCTAATGATGCTGGGTCGTTTGTTTTATAAATGAATGGGTTCAGTGTACCTGGAGAAATTCCAAGTGGTGAAGGAAAGCATATAATGAAGAACTGTGATATTAATTACATGAATATACGTTAATAGTACATAGCTCATGCATATTTATTTTCCTTTCTGTGAGTTACTCCCCATCTGGGGGCTGCTGCTGTTTCTATCTGCATGGAGCTGAAGCTTCACTTCCAGCCGTGGCATTGCATGGCTTGTGGGGAACCTGATAGGTTCAGCTAATGCTGCTGGGCTCTTTCATGGACAGCTTGGCAGCTAGCCTGAAGAATGCAGCCCATGTGTATTAATAGACCAGAAAAGTGATTCACTGTTCTATGTACCTGTGAAAGGATTTGCCTGGAAGAAGGAGAAAGGGAACTGTTGTCAAATTCTGGACTGGAGTGAACTGTAATGCTGAAGCTGAGGTAAGAGGATTTTCTGATTGGAGTTTCCTCTGAAGGGAGAACTAAGTAGAACTTAGTGACAGAACTAGAGGGAATGGCCTCCAGTTCAAGTTGGACATTAGGAAATAATTCCCTAAGAGAGTGGTCGGGTGCTGGAATGGGCTGCCCAGGGAGCTGTCGGAGTCGCTGTCTCTGGAGGCGTTCAAGAAACATTTAGATGTTATACTGAGGGACGTGGTTTAGTGGGGAAATACTGGTGGTAGGCAGATGGTTGGTCTGAATGATCTTGGAGGTCTTTTCCAACCTTGGTGATTCTGTGATTCTAACTTGGTATCATAGATACTTACCTCTCTTACATTAACAGCTGAGACTACAAGCAGCTCCTGACCACCAGATGTCCCCAAACCTTTCCTGTCCAAACTCATGCTGAGCTTCATGGTGACCCTTGGTGCCAGCCTGGAAAGTTGGCTCAGCCCTGCAGCTGTCTGTGGTGTCATGAGGGGAACCTGTGCAGCTGCAGAGCCAGCACTGCCTCCACACAAAGCACCTTCTGGCAGAGCCCAGCCTTCTTTTAAGGGATTTCTCTGGATGGGGCACAAGCACGGCAGCAAATTGCTTTGTTCTCAAGGAGTGTAAGCCTTGTTCCACAGATATTGGTGTGTATGGAAGCAGCTATGAAGTCAGATTCACCTCCTCACTGTCTCCCAGTCTGTCACACGGAGGCAGGGCAGAAAAGTAGTTTGAAGTATTTTGGAAAGTGAAGAAGTGAAGGTAAGGAAAGCACAGCGCACAGGGCCCAGGCCCCAGCCTCCTGCCACTGCCACCTCCTCTGAGGAGATGAGACTGCCTTACACTTACAGATCATAATTTTTTTTTCTTTTTACATCCTGTCAATAGAAAATCATAACTTTAATCACTACATTTCTACAGTTAAAGCAGTTTTTCCCTCAGCCTGCACTATAGATTCTTTTAGGCCAAATTAATTGCTGTTTTCTTTTTATGATGCCTGTGCTGAGAAGGCACATTATGGAAACCAATTTGGCTGAGATTTTGAAGCTGAGGTAATAATTTCAGCAAAGACTCATTGCACTCTCTATAATCATATCCACTTTCACTCATTTTCCAGGCTACTGCAACCACTCTCAGATGATTCATGATTTGTTGTTACCTCTCTAACCTCAGTGCTGTCCATGAGGTTTTTGGGGCTGAGGGCAGGTGGGAAGCCACGAACAGAAGAGCTGCCTACAGGAGGAGGCTGTGGTGGGCACAGGGGCTGCTCATCCCTCAGCGTTGCAGCTGGAGCTGGCCCATTGCCAATCCTCAGCCCCTCACAGTCTCCTTTTGCCCACCTCACTCGTTGCTTAGGGAGTGGAAAAGGAAGGCTGCATCTCCCCTGCAGAGAGCAGTGCTGCTTGATTGTGCAGTTGGCCCTGGACACACTTCGTTACACAGGCCTGCCACAGTCACATCATTGGTTACACTATCTCCCCTGCCCTAGCACCCATGAAATTGTGGGGATAATTAATGGGATATTTTTAGTTCGAATTAGAGCTTGAAATTGTTAATTAAAAGCCAATTATGATCAATCTGTTTTTAACATCCCTTCCTTCTCATAGTCATAAAAATTAATTACCACCGTAACGAGCCATTCAGTGGCTAGCCCTGATGCTGCCCAGTGACAGCTTCAGAGCTGGATTTGTCACTGCCTGGGGGCCGCATGCATGGACCCAGCCCAAACTGTGCAGGTGTGCAGAGCTCACCGTGTGTGCAGTGCTCTGAAGCTCAGAACGTGAACTGCCCCAATGGCTGTCAGAGAAGTTTTGCTTCCTAAGCAGACTCAAACTCAGTGCACGCAGCTTGGCTTCACAATGAGAAAGTAAGAATCCTTTGGTTTTAAAAAAATAAAAATAAAAAGGTCATTCACTGAACTTTGCTGTGACCTTCAGAATGCTGATCCTGGCCTGTAGAAACAGATTGGGGCCTTAAGATACCTCATTTGGGGATTAAACATGTTTCAGCAGCTCTGTCCTCTGAAGCAGAAATACTTCCTCTGCCAAATTGAAATCATCCATTTCAGTGGAGGGCTTTTCTTTATTGCCAAGAGCAAAGAGAAGCTGATGTTATTTCACACTGGAATGGCATTGCATGAGGCTCAAGAGGAAACAGCTTTAAACTGGAAGAGGGTAAATTTAGACTAGATATTAGAAAGAAATTCTTTACTGTGAGGGTGGTGAGACACTGGAACAGGTTGCCCAGAGAGGCTGTGAGTGCCCTTATCCTGGAAGATTTCAGGGCCAGGCTGGATGGGGCTGTGAGCAACCTCATCTAAAGGGAGGTGCCCCTGTCTGTAGCAGGGGGTTGGAACTAAATGATCTTAAACATCCAACCCAAACTGTTTTGATTCTGTTGTTTTCTGACCGTAATAGAGCAAGCACTGCAGATGCTGATAACTGACCCATATTGGGCCAACCTTTGGGCTTAAATCTACTAGATCTACTGCATCAGGTTCAACTTTCAGTTATTTTGGTGTTTGAAGCTGAGAGACAGGAATATTCAACCACGATGCACATTCTCTCTGCTTTGTATGCTGCAGAGGGAAAGTTTCACATCCCCATGTCAGAAGGAGGACTTTCAGATACTGGTGCACTCAGTGTGGACATAATTATGACTGGGGCCACATGCTGGAGAGCAAAGTCACAGCTGTCTGGGATTGTGAATTAGCAGCTCTGAGTGTAGCAATTTATGTGCACAATTTTTTAAAGCCCAGCTACTCTTATTTGTACAGCATAGAATTACTAACAAAACCCTCTGCTGTTTCCTCAGAGAAAACAAAAACAGGTCGTTTGTAATGTACATTGTAAGTGGTGACTTCACAAAGCAAAAGGATGATTCTAAGACCTTTATTGGATAAAGTAAGAACATCCAGTTCAGGGAAGAAAGCCAGATCCTTTCCATTTGCCTTTTTCTTCTCCCCCCCCCCCCAGAAAAGCAATGACTCACATTGCTACAGGCTCACAGACAAATAAAGTGGCGATTGCAGTAGGAGCTGTAATTCATCAGTTTGTCCATGAGGCTGCTAAAGGAGATAGAGTGAAAGCCTTGCTGAAGTCAAGATGAGATCATTCATTGCTCTTCACTTGTCCACTAAGCAAATCATTCTGTTGGAGAAGTCTATCAAGTTGGTTACACATGATTTCCCCTTCATAAATCCATGCTGACAATTCCCAATCACTCTGACTTTATTATGTTCCGAAACCATTTCCAGCACTGTATGCTCCAGCACTGTCCCCAGGATCAAGGTGAGGCTGATAGGTATTGAGTTACCTGTATCTCTGTCTTGCCTTTCTTGAAGGTGCAGACAATGCTCGCTATCTTACAGCCCTCTTTGCCATGACCATCCAAAGATAATCAGGATACTTAATGCGAGCCTCCTCCGCCAGCAGGAAGGCCTCACTGATCCTTGTGACAGTGAACAGTTCCCAGACCTTAAAGATGAGCTCATCTCTGCCAGCTATAACTGTACTTAGTGCTGCTGAGAATTTGTGGTTGTAATTGAATGGAAGTTGTATGCAAACAAATCTTTTCCCAAGCTCTGAAGATGGCAGTCATTTAGTTCACTCATTTAAATTAGTTATATTCCAATGTACGTTGCATGTAATAATGCTGGTTTGATCTCTTCCTGTCACACTTTAAACGCACATTTCCAACAACTCAACACCAAAAATTGAAGTAAAGCCCTCTGCGAAATCACAGTTACTCAGAACTGAAGCAAAAGTCTGCAAAGTTCCAAGAGATGTGGTGAGCCAGTGTGTCACCTCTGTGCTTACGCCTCACTCCTTCCCCCCCTTCCACACATCCAGCTCTCTCAGTGCTCTCATACTGAAACATGAGCTCCTGGTGGCAGAACCAAAGCCTTTCCATACACTTGTAGGAGTCCCCACGTTGTGGGTCTGATACCGAAACAACAGGCAACAGCTCTTACCAGGAGACTTCCCTTTCTCCAAGGAGTGCTTTGCTTCTTCTGAGGGCTGTGAGTTGTGCTTAGCATATGTGGGGCAACTTAATGAGGAAAATAGCCTGCTGGTGTAGTCTTCCACCACTGAGCCCTGAGTCAGCCATACTCACACTGACAGCGAAATGAAAGAAAGCAAAGGTCTCCATGGGAGGCAGTCTGAAACAGCAACAGTGGCATTTTCTGTTTATCTGAAAAATACTTCTACAAATACTTTTATTTAATGTAGTGTAACTACCATTATTTATTTGCACATTAATACAAAGGCACAACGTGGTTTCTGCTTAATTAAAGCAAAAACAAAAAAACAAAAAAAAAAAACCCAAAAACCTCAGCAACGCTCACATCATGTCAGGAACCAGTCTTAAATGGTGGCAGAGAGACAACTGTACATCAGCTCATTCACTGTACTTACTGCCTGGCACTGCAGAAGCTCAGGGATGCAGAGACACTTGGTTTCGTTTGGTTTGATCATGGAAGAAATAGAGCTCCTGTCACCAGTTCCTGCACAGACAAATGAAAACATGGGCTGGAAGACAACTCCAGCTTAAATCCCTGTGCATCCTGCTCTTGTGCACCTTCTCTTTGTACCATCGATTGCTCTTCTCCCCACTTGACATTTTGCTAGCTAATGAGTGACATGCCTGGCCTTTTCCAGATTCAACAGCATGGCCCTACCCCACTATATCACGCAAAGGTAAAAGGTCATTCTGTCACAGACTGTTACAGAAACATCCAAGTGTTTCCGGATGGAGCAGCACAGACTCCATTCACATAAAGGTTCTCCTTTACAGAGGGGAAGTGTCAAGGAGCAGAGCTGCAGAAAGGCTTCCTGGCTGATCAACCAACAGACAGCACTTTCTGAATGCAAATTTTTGGATTTGAGCATCTTTGGCACCTGTCACTAGGCTGCCCAGAGAGGAGTCAGTCATCACCACTGATTGTGCTTGTACCGTTGCTGGCTAAAAGGTAACAGCGTGTGAATACTGATCAGGAAGAAGTAAATTTACAGGTGAAATAGAAAGTTATTGCTAAGAAATTCTGGAGAAATGACTGTGTCGCCTTTTAAATAATTGGTTTAATGGTACATAAGCATCATTATCTTCCAAGGTGATTATGAAGAGGAGAAAGGAACAGGATACTGTTGCTACCACCCTTTGTACCAGCAGAACAAGCAAAAATTAATTTGAGGAAAACTGTCTAACAGTACAGCTAATAAAATACCACATTAAGTTCAAATGGAAATAAAGGGAATTCACCTGAGGAATAAAACCTGTCCATTCATGCCAAGAAAATCCAGTGCAAAACAGCTCCCTAATTGAAAGTGCAGGCAGGATACTTCATCAAAGTCTCTCTAACAAGCAGATCCTATCATTTCCCCTATGAGAGAGAAGGAAAAGGTACATGCCCGACTTGCTCATGCATACGTGCCTCACAATGACTCGGAGAGATCTTCAGAATGCAAGGAAACCTCCTGAGTTGCCATATCATTCATGGACTCATTGCCTACAAACAAGCACAGTATGGGAGTGTAAGGAAAATGAAGAAGAGCGGAGGAAAAGAAAAAAATATATATACATATATATACACACTAACTCTCCCAAAATCTTGACTGACTCCAAGGAAAGCATCAAGGCTCTAAAGCCCAAATGACTGACATTATGAGTCTGGTGTTTTGGAAACCCCACACTGGGGCTGAATGTGTGAACTCAAGGATTCCCACAAGCGATGCCTTCGTAAGCACAGAGGCCTCTAATATGGCACAAAAAGCACCAAACACCAGGCTGGCTGTGATCACAAGCCATTGGAGATGCTGTCAACATATCATCTCTACTGCTCAGTGAAAGCTGATGGAGAGTGAGCTACAGAGAAGGAGCCCCATGAGTGTGAGGCACCATCACAGCAAGGGAGACACCACCGCTCTCACAGCTGGGCTGTGGTAACCCACTGCAGCCACTACATTGGCTCTTGCCAACCTGCCCCAGCATGGCAGCCCATTCATCTTTCCTTTCTCTATTGGCTTTGTCATCCTTCCAGAAGAGATGGCTACAGAGAACTCCCAGGTGACTGGAAAGAAGCCTTCCCAAAGTGTCCTGTCAGACTCATCCCATTTCACACTTCAGCCCATTTCTCTCTCCCTCAAGCAGGTTGCAGGCTTCTGTTCAGCCAGGCCCTCGCATTCCCCCTCGCTTCCCATCCTTGCCCCCACAGAGCAAAGTGGAAACTCTCAGGGTAGCTGCCAGAGGCACCCGGAAACAGGGTGAGGAACCCAGGGCAGTGCTCCCCAGCATGCTTCTTCCTGCTGAGGAAATCTCTCAGAGGAACCTCTGGGGCAATAGGAAGGCAGCAGAGCTTCCTGCCGGCTTGAAAGCTCTGTTTCTGTTCTGCAATTTTCCCTGAGCACTCAGCAAACCATTCAGATGCTTGGACTGTACGGTAATCCATTTGTCTTGGATTAATTTTTATCTGTATTAGTGATTTATTCCTGGTCACTGTTTATTCTCCAACAACATATACCCTAGCAATGGCCATAACAGCTACACTATTAATGTGGTAAAAAATTTGGCTCCTCCGTTAGCTGTTCTGTTCCTCTCACAAAGACAAGGAAGAAATACTTTAAACCTAGTCCCTAGTTTACCCTAGTTTATCTCCATAACAACAGCTTGCCTCTGGGCCAGCAGGCCAAGCTGACCTGCCTGGCTCCTGCTGGTGTCTACCACTGAGGCATCGCACCACAAGATCTTCCTCATGGTGGCACAGAACAAACATCTAAGGAGCATAAGGGCTGAAGATAAGGATGCAGGATGCCTCACCAGCTCATCAACCCCCAGGTTGCAGTATGAGGAAAGGAAAAACAGAAAAACAGCTTGTCAGGAGTATGTGGCACACACAGGTACATACAGCGGTCTTGTCTATTCCTGGCTGAATGTTTGACCTCTCTGAATGACGCATGGGATAAAGAGGGCTAAAGTGCAGAAAGGTGTTCCTCCCAGGGAGCGAGCAATGTGCTCTGCTTTCTCACTAAAAGAAAGAAATTCTACCTTTGTGTAAGATGACCCAAATTTCTCTTTTAAGACACGCATGAGGCTTGAATTTTTTTTTTCACCCTAACGTATCACTTAAATTCAGAGCAGCAGAAGTGTCCATATCCTGACAGACACTCAGCCTATTTCATTCAAAAGCATTCATGAAGTATTTCACACACTAAAGATGGTTGTCACAATAAAGAGTAATTCCTGCAAAGTTTTAATGTTAGCTCTGAAATTCATGTATTACATTTTTATTTTTATTTTTTAAACTTGCCAGGCCAAAAGATGCTAAAGGGAAAAAAAAAAAAGAAAAAAGTAAGAAACGTGGTGGTTTCCACACTGGTGGGCAGCAAAACGCAATGCCTGCTCTCTCATCTGCCTTCTGAAGAGAAGATAGGGAAGAGGTCTCAAGGGCTGGGACAAGAACAGGGAAATCACTCAACCAGTTTCTGTCACAGGCAAAACACTCTCAGTGTGGGGACATTCATAGAGTTTATTGTCTATCGTAAACAGACCAGTGAGAACTAAAAGCAAACTAAAAACACCTCCCCCTTGCCATCCATCCTCTTCCACCTCCTTACCTGAGCAGTGCAGGAGAACAGGGAATGAGGGCTACTATCAGTCCATAACATCACTGCCACTCCCTCATGGAGCCCTTTTCTCCTTGTTATACAGCTACTCTGAAGACAGCTTAAAATTCACAAATGTATGTTTGCAAGGCTTTGAACCTGATTCAGATCTAATTCCGTGCCCAGGACAAGCTTAGTGCAAGGCTTCCATGTAGTCACTCCTTCAGATTGGGTCAATACACAGCACTCACTCCATATGTGGCCAATGTAGACAATACATCCCGATGTGAAGAACTCCACCACTCCTACTGGCCCCCAAGAGCTCACAAGCTCTCCAATTACTATACACATTACCTAAGCAGCATCTATGTTTTTAAAATGGTAGAGAGAGCAGCTTTAAACTAAAATATATTTAACTTGAGTCCCTCTGGAGCTAACATCCATGATCAAAATAGTCAACTAAAATTCATTAAATCTACTTACCTCAGTATAATTGAAATGCAAATCTCAGTGAAACATTTTAGCTAAACAAGTGAATTTCTCTTTGAATCACACAGTGATGCCATTCTTAGAGAACAATATCTGACACAAAGCACACAGGCTCCAGGGACCTCAAAATCTACCAGCACTCAAGTTTCTGAATGATAAAATTGCCATATAAAAACGTAAGTAATTAATTGCTCCTTTCAGCAGGTCTTGTCTGATGTACTCAGATGAGTAAATTATAAGTTTATAAGACAAGTTTAAATTATACATCTTTCAGAATAACTCATCTAATGAACTTGGACATAGGAAAAAAAAATGGTAGCAACACCTTCCACACCTACAATATTTGCAACAGGCTCAGAAAAAGAAAAGCACCATAGCTGAAACAATGGTTGGGACATCACAAAATTGGCTGAGTAATTTTGGATGAATTTCCCAGGTTAAACAAAATCAGAAACATTAATTTCTGCTTTCGAACTCATGACATCAGATGTTGAATCATGTGAATCTCTAAATACCATAATTTCAAAGAATTCATCGCAAATAAAAAAATATTCTGGCACATGCCTCCAATATCTGAAAAAATATATTGTGTATCTATAAGCTAAACGCATTTACAGATGCATTATATATAAATACATAACGTAAATACACATATTTGTAACATGATCATACGTGTAATGATCACTGAGTGTGAAGAGTATTGTTTAATGGAAAAAAAAAAAAAAAAAAAAAAAAGAAAGTAAAGATGTTTGAGTTCCTATAAAAAAGCCAAAGTAGATTTGGGTGCTGGATTGCTCTGCATTATTTATGTGGTTATACTTAATATTCTTCTTCTTGTTTTCAAGTCAGGACCTGAGATATTCCTGAATTTCTCAAAGGCAAATTCTTTGCATCTTATCTTTAAAGGCTGAACCACATTGCTCAACTCAGCCTTAGCCAAGCAGCCAAGACAGCCTCCAAACTGAGAAGTCAGCAAACCAAACAACCAAGATAGTAAACAAGCAGAAAGAAGAAGATATGAGTGTTTACTACATACAAGAAACACAAAGATTGAATTCCACAGCTGTTATGGAAAAGACAGCTGAATCTGAAAGCCACTTAGAGCAGATGTAGTGTGCTAACCACTGAGATGTTTCTTGCCTAGATGGAAAAAGATTTTGTACTGATTGTCATTCGGGACATTTCATGAAGAGTACCTCCCAAATTGGAAACTATTTGCTTTTGCTGGCATTAGATAAGTAGGTGAAAAGGCACAACCTGCACCAGACAATACCTGGTTTCCATGAAGATGGCTTTGAAACTGAGGATGGAATCATATGAAGAATAAGTAAAACAACTGTTAAATTATGATAATTCCTCTAAGAAATATGAGAAATCTTCAAAGGAAAAATGATAGGAATTATATCATTCAATAATTGAATATTGGTTCTCCAATAAGACATGAAGTATTAGAAAACACTATAAACGCCCAAAAGGTTATATATTGACTTCATACTTCACAGCTACTTTTGTGCAGACAGTGAGGGAGCAAGAAAGAAACAGCATTCCTGCAGAAAACAAGCTACTGCTGTCAGAAAGCTTGTGGTTGAAACCATTTCCATTCTAATGAAATAGTAAATCTACAGAAGAGCCCTTTCTCCAAGATCAACAGAAAGGCTTCTGTAGGATTCCCAGCAAAGAATGTTTGTTAGTAGGTTGCAAGAGAAAGAAGACTACTGCCAATCTCTGACCATTGAGATGTTCACATCTCACAGTAGAAGTGTTGTATATATTTCAGTGCCTACTTTAAAACTTGTGGAAATTTTTTGACACCTGAAATTCATGAAATAGATCATGGCAAGTTCACCTGAGATGCAAGCCTACTTCCTTGGCTTGATTTAGATTGGATTTGAAAGTAGTACCCGCTGGGACTTTAAATTATGATTAAATTTGAAAAGTCACTGTGGGATCTCAAAAAACAAGAGCTCAGGAAAGGAACCAGTACTGAGTCATTTGGGGAACAGCCATCCATTTTCATGAAAGAAAATCATTACATTTGTCGACCAGAATCTTACCAAATTACAGGATTCTTAACAGAGCAGCCTTCTAGGTATTACATTTTGTCGTCTTAAGAATGGCAGAAGTTGCCAAAATTCATTACAGTGGGGATAAGATGCTGGACCTCGTGTCCACTGAGCTGTAGAATCTGTACAATACCCATAATGACTGCTGCTGGTGGGAGTGTTGCAATTCCTCTCTCCAGTGCTGTATCTGGCTGACAAATTCACAACACGGTTGCAGATGCTGGCAGGCAGTTGTTGATCAGTGCTCAAAGTGACAAGTGATGTTCAGAAGTACTTCTGGCTTGAATGTTTCCTCCCCACATGTCAACTTCTGTCCTCTTTCAGTCAGGTGGCTTTTGCTAGAGCCTCACTGGTGTACATCAGTGACACAGGTAGGAAGGAAACACAGTTTTGGCTTTCTTTAGATGGTTGCTTAGCACAATCCAGACTGGAACTACCTTGTTAGCATTGTGAATTAAGTATTACTGGGAAGAGGAAAATACTGAGACCTAATAGTTGTCTCCCTGTGCCATAGATATGTTCTGCTTTAATAGAAAGTGAAAACAGTGACAAAACTTTCAGAAGAATTTACAAAGCTCCTGCCTTTACAGCCTTTTTAAACTTCTGCTCAACCTAACTTTCTGTGACGAGAAAAATTAGAAACTTGACTTCAGTAACTTTTTCCAAGTCAGCTGGTAGAGTTAATCTGGATGTTTTATAGAATGGCTCTTAGGTGTATGGAGCAGATTTAAGATGAGGAATAACTAATGTTACCAGAACTTTTCACTATAGCAGAAAAAGGAAAGAGAAAGAAAGCAAAAAAGAACTCTCTTCTATAAAGCTGCAGCTATTATAGAAGAATCAAAGGGAGATACTTGCTATCCTTTCCTGGAAAAAGTGACAGAACTAAAGATCAGTCATGACCTAGTAAATACGAGGTACTGCCTCTTGCTCTGTGTCTGGACACAGTATTTCTGACTATGGCAAGAAATAAGTTCTGGAAATTGTTGGTTCTGACTTACCTTGCCCTTTATCTTCTCCTCCATGCACCTGCTGCTGAAGGTAGGAAACCTGCCTATGGGCATCTCTATTCTAACCAAGGGAAGCCTTTTTTTTCCTCTGGTTAGCCTGTCCAACAATTAGCACAGTACAGGCCTGCCATAAGAAGGAAAAGAGAGACAGATAACAGATTTATTTAATTGCATTTATACAAGTATAAGACAAAAGATCTCAGTCCATCTGTCTACGAAGCATCATGCAAGCAGTGTCTGTTTGCATTTATAATTCAAACCATTTTCATCTTCCACTTTGGAGCCTCCAAGTCTTTACTAAACTTCAGGTAGGATACTAATCACTGGTAAAGGTTAGGTGTACATTTTTTTTCCAAAATAGACCAGAAGCAAGCACAAAGGGCACTAGTAGTGATGTATTTTAATTACTCCTTCCAGTGGCAACCTTATCCAGAAGATGTCACCAAAACACAAGTAGTACTCAATGTTCCTACAACAAGGAACATAAATGGAAGGACTTCTAATCTGTAGATGAACCACAGAAAATAAAATAAAGAAGGATGCTGAAAGAATACCTTGAAATAAAGTTACTGTTTTTCAAGGAGAAGATTAAATCCTCATATCATCATAGCAAGAATGCTGGATACACTGTACAAGGAGAAAATCTGATGGAAAATATAGAAAGATGTTTTGAGCAGAGATCACATTCTTGCCAAAATTCTTCCCTTAAATTAACAAAACATGGGCAGAGCAACCACTGAACTATTGAACAATGAAGTTTTTCATTTTCTGAAAGTTTAAAAAAAAAAATTAAACCATAACATGGTGAAATTAGAATTCTTCTTTTATTTGGATTTAAATAAATGAATAGTATGTCCAACAAGTTCACAGAGCAGGCACAGACCTTAAAAAAAAAACAAACAACACATGGAATCCACCTTGTTACTTGTCTGAGCAATTAAAACAATGTTTTCTTCTAATAAAGTTGTTCCCTTAACAATTTGTGAAGTTAAAAAACCCAGTAACAGAAGATTCAGCTGCACTCATGCTTAAAATAGTAATAAAAATGCAAATCTGCTTTACTAACATGTTGAGTCTCGAGTCATGAGTAACAGG